AGGTAAACATAATGAATTTTTATTCAAACCAAAAAATAGAAGATTTACTGTTATGCAATATTGTAATAATTGTATAAATATCATCATCACATTTGTGAATGTATATTAGACCCACCAGCTGGCGTGTATTAGACATGTGAGGTCGTTTGTTTACTCTTGAACATTGACAAAAATTTAACATTTCTTCTACTTTGAGCTTGGTTTCAAGCCATTTCCAGTGCTAAAACCAATCAAAATCATCTCTATTTCTGTAATATATCTTCCCTTCTATCAAATGAGACCAAGAAATCTCAAATACAACTATAAAAAACATACAAAAAACACTGCAAAGTCGCTGTTTTAATCGAAAATCACAGTCTCAGTTTTTTTCTCTTATTATACACTGTGTGCTGCAGGATTTGTTTTATGTGGTGCACACATACCACATAAATGTATTCTCTCATATCTAGGCCCAAATTTACCACTCACAGCTTATCAGAGTGAGCTGAGCTCATGGCGTAGATCTACGGTTTGGACCCTGAATGTAAAGCCATAGATCTACGGCACGGACCCTAAAAGGGTTAAAACACTGACTTTGCGGTGTGTTTTCGGATAGTTTTTATGGTTGTATTCTTGGTTTCTTAGTATCATTTGATAGAATGGAAAATATATTATAGAAATAGAGATGATTTTGATTGGTTTCAGGACTGGAAGTAGATTGAAATTGAGCTCAAGATGGTGGAAATGTTTGATTCTTGCTGATATTCCAGAGGCCACAAATTATATGTCACTCATTAACCCTTTCAGGGTTGAGAGGCCCTCTCCTAAACTTGTTCTCAGGGTCGAAAATTTTTTGGAAAAAAAAAAAAAAAATGAAATGATAGAGAATTTTTTCCCGATCATAATTACACCAGAAGTATGAAATTTGATGAAAACTTACCGAATTATGCTCTCGCGAAGTTAGCGATCTCGACAATGTTTACGCATCGGCGATTTCACCCACTTTGAGCCCTATTTTCGGCCAATTCCAGTGTACTGGTCTACAAAAATCATATCTGTTTCGCTAGAACTCCATTTTTTCTATCGAATGAGTACAAGAAACCACCCATTTACCAATTTCAACTGTCCAGTAAAGTGGTCAGAAATTGGCAATTTTGCCAATTTCACACAAATTTCAGGAGATGCCAATTTCCAAGTAGGGTCCAGAATAAATAAGACAAGACATTCCTGGCACTAAAATAAAAAAATTTCTGTTCATTAGTCATGTCCCCAGGCCCCTCTTACATCTCTTTTACTTTCCACTTTGAATTTTTATTCTCACAAAAAATAGAAGATTTACTGTTATGCAGACTACTGCATTAGTGTAGAAATGGTATAAATAATATCAGCGCACTTGTGAAAGAATAGTATTAGACTTGCCAGTTGACGTGTATTGGACGCCTGGCATGATTTGTTTACTTTTGAACTTTGGTAAAAATCAAACATTTCTGCTACTTTGAGCTCAATTTCAAGGTACTTTTCATTATGAAACCAATCAAAATCATCTCAATTTCTGTAATATGTCTTCCATTCTATAAAATGAGACCACGAAAACTAAAATACAGCCATAAATACCATACGAAAATACACTGAAAAGTTGCTGTTTTAAGCCAAAAACATGGTCGGAGTTTTTTTTTTCTCATTATGCACTGTGTGCTGCAGGATTTTTTTTATACTGTGCACACTGACCACATAGACCCATTCTTTCATATGTAGGCCTACCAGCTTTCTCTCACTAGATTTGAAGGCGCCAGAATTTAGGTGTACTAGTACGTCAATAACTTCGGTGCGTAAGCCGTACTAGTATGTCGGAAACCCTGAAAGGGTTAAATATGCGTGCAGCTGGTCAGTCTAATATGCGTTAATGAATGTGCTGACATTATACAATTATTACAATAATGCAGTAATCTTCATAACAGGAAATCTTTCTATTTTTTGTGTTTACCTGGAGTTTACCTGGAGAGAGTTTCGGGGGTCAACGCCCCCGCGGCCCGGTCTGTGACCAGGCCTCCTGGTGGATCAGCGCCTGATCAACCAGGCTGTTGCTGCTGGCTGCACACAAACCAACGTACGAGCCACAGCCCGGCTGATCAGGAACTGATGTGGAACTGTGTGAATAAAAATTAAAAATGGAAAGCAAGTGTAATATAGGAGAGGCCTGGGGATGTAACTAATGAACAAAGGAAATGTTTTAGTACCAGGAATGTCTACATTGTTTATTCAGTGGCCAGGCTTCAAACACCTTTTATTGTACAGCAATAAAGGAATGGAACAGACTGCCTGCACATGTCAAAGCCAGTCATAGCATGAACCAGTTTAAAAAGAGTGCCAAAAGGTGTCTGATGAATGTAGCTAAAGAAAAGGAGGGGAATGATTTTTTATTTTTTAGCTAACACACATGTAATTTTACCTTATTCCTAGTAATGACCCCTGTATTGTAGATAGTCTTAATGACCCTCGTGTAGTAAATAGTCTTTTTAGTATGATAATAAGATGTTATCTTCATTATAGAATAATAAGAAGATATTATAACCTTTATATAATAATAATAAGGTAAAAGGACCCCAATGGAAATAAGTCACTCTGTCTGACTTTTTTTGGGTTATCCCAGGTTCTCTACACATATGCTGCTATGTATGATAATTCTATGTATCTGTATTTGTGTATACCTGAAGAAACTTACTTACAGTGGAACCTCAAATATCGAACTTTCTTCGGTCCAGAAGGCTGTTCGAGTGCCACTACCAAACGAATTTATTCCCATCAGGAATAATGTAAATTAGATTAGACCATTTAAGACCCTCAAAAATACACTTATAAAAGCACTTACAAAAATACACTTACATAATTGGTTGAGTTGGGAGCAGTTCAATTTTTGAGGTTCCACTGTACTTACATTTTGTGTGAAATAGGCCAAATAACCGACTTCTGATCACTTTACTGGGTAGTTGAAATGAAATGAGCAATTTCTTGTACTCAATCATTACAATGGAAGGCATACTAGTGAAATAGCTAAAAATTTGTTCAATTGGAACAATGGAATTGGCCTAAAATAGGACTGAAAGTGGGCAAAATCGCCGATGCCTAAATATCGCTGAGTGCTAACTTTGTGAAAGCATAATTTCTTAAGTTTTCCATCAAATCGTGTACTTTTGGTGTCATTACTTTTGGAAAAAGATTATCTATCATTTCATAATTTTTTTTTAATTCTTGGACCCTGAGACCAATTTTCAGTTCAGGGGTCTGGACCCTGAAAGGGTTAAAATATGGTGAGACTGCAGGAATAATAATAATAATATAATAATAATCTTTATTTACTACAAGTACATGTACATGGTATACAGTCCTAGCTGACAACAGTGACATACTACTACATAGAAAGCCACTTGTTATGCTGAGCAACTCGGGCAAATTAGGTCAGTGTCCCAGGATGCGACCCACACCAGTCGACTAACATCCAGGTACCCATTTTACTGATGGGGAACATAGACAACAGGTGGAAAGAAACATGCCCAATGTTTCTACTCTGGCTGGGAATCGAACCCAGGCCCTCGCCGTGTGAAACGAGAGCGTTAACCACCAGAGCCCTGGGCTTAAACTAGATGAAACTAAAACTGCATAGCAATTGTAATCTGAACTTGCATCTATTACATTGCCAGCTTAATGTGAACATTCGTGAAGAATAAGTACTGTGATGACGGACATTTGAAAAGTTTTGCGAGTGCTATGGATTTGGATGCAGTACATATATATTGGTTTAAACATTTATCGGTGGGTATAGTGTAAACTGTAAGCTTTCAGGTGTGCAGGTGGAGTGTAGTATATAGTGTCCTTATAGATTTATAGATGAGTGTAGGTAAAGCAGTGTAGGATGGCAAACAGTACCTGGAAGGAAATACAGAATGCCAGTAAAATTATAATTATTGATATAAAAAATATGGGGAAGGAGGACTCGTATAGTAATCAGCAATCACACCCACTTCACTAGCAGTAAACTAACCCAAACCAAGACCTTGTATATAGCCCATCAATGCTCTGCTCTTGCCTCAGGTAACTTGCTTGCAAGATTTGCATTCCTGGCTCAGGTACTAGGTAACATTCAAGCATATGACTGCACTCTTATTGATATAAAATTTATTTGTATGTTTTAGTGAAAGATAAAATTTCATATCTGCAGTGCAAACATTACAGACAGTTTATTATGTGTTGTTTATCCTTAAAAAATAAGTGGATACATATTTTAATGCCAAAAATTTATTGGTGAATTATATTTGCTGGTAAATTTTACTTATGTAACTAATTGATGAAATAGTGTGAAAGTTTTTGAGGAAGTCCTTCAGTTGCTAGTCAGTAATGAGTTTCTACTTCATATGATGCCAGACTTCCTTAACTTCAAAAAAAAAAAAAAACAACAACAACTTGAAAAGCATTACAATCCACATATACAAAATTATTTAAGTAATTTTAAAAATGTATATTAATCATAACTTGTCAAATTATGTCTTTATAATCAGAATATTGTGATGACTTTGATTACAAAAATTAATACAGTGGACCCCCGGTTAACGATATTTTTTTCATTCCAGAAGTATGTTCAGGTGCCAGTACTGACCGAATTTGTTCCCATAATGAATATTGTGAAGTAGATTAGTCCATTTCAGACCCCCAAACATACACATACAAACGCACTTACATAAATACACTTACATAATTGGTCGCATTGGGAGGTGATCGCTAAGCGGGGGTCCACTGTATTTATAGTTAAAACCTTGTTCTTTAAACTTGACCATTTTGTCAGTGTAGACATGAAAGTATTACGTATGAAGTTGTGTTTATTGAAGTTAGCATTTTGCTTGCAATTTTTGCACTGCTATATTTATTTTTCATGATAGTGTACAGTAACCACAATAGAAAAAAGTATGTAAATTTGAGTGATAAGGCTATAAGAGTGAGTAGCATGCAAGGTATATTTTTCTTTCCAGCACGTAGCTGACTTGTCCCTCCCCCAGGGTGACCCTGATGAGGCCGACAACCCTAGCACGGGGATCGGCGCCTTCCGCTTCATGTTGGAGACCAACAAGGGGCGCACTATGCTGGAGTTCCAAGAACTCATGACTGTCTTTCAGCTTCTGCACTGGAATGGCTCACTCAAAGCCATGAGGGAGAGGCAGTGCTCTAGGCAGGAAGTAGTAGCACATTATTCCCACCGGGCACTTGATGATGACATGCGCTCACAAATGGCCCTCGATTGGATTGCTCGAGAGCAGGAAAACCCAGGAGTGATCTCTAGGGAACTGGGCCAGAGTGAGCGAGAGCTCGAGGCTGCTCGTTTGGCTGGGCGTGAGCTACGCTTCCCCAAGGAGAAGAAGGACATTATGATGTTGGCGTGCTCGCAGCTGTCACCCTCTCCCCTGGACCCTTAATGCCAGGGCAAAGGGCAGCCGCTATAGTGATATTAGCACCAAGGTGTAGAGGTTAATGCTTTCATCTCTGCAAAATCAAAGCTAATTTACTTTTTATTGTTGTAAAGATTGTTTTGTACTGTTTTCTTGTGTGTGCATGTATATAATGTAAATAATCATTCCAAAGAATTTTATTATGTAATTATAATATTATTAAGCTTTTTGTGGGGTGCACTGGTGAGCCCCACATTAAAATACGCACCCCTGGGATATCACTATGCAAGTAGAGCCAGGCACTGGCTGCTGATCACTATACTGATGACTTCATTCATCCTCAGAGTTTTTGTGCAAACATTTTGGGCTACATATGCACTAATTTCAGTAATTTTGCACAACGGATTAATGTAAGTAATATCCTTAATATTGATTAGTTGTTGAATTGACTTATCAATGCATCACATCAAATTTAATACATCCCACATCTTTGCCCTTCAGCACTGTAGCTCATATCAGCAATGCAATAGTTGGCAGCTGCATGGTAAAGGATTGTGTTAGTATGGTATGTACAGGGCATGTCCCTATTCTACAAACCACCTATAGTTGTGATGGTCTGCTGTATACTGCTGCACAGTGCGTTTGCTGTACTAAGCTATCAGTAGTACAAGTCATATGCCTGTCGGGTGTGCAGCAGTGCGTTTGCTGCATCTTCAAACTGTCAGCATTACAAATTTGGAGTGTGTGAAGTGTTCCACACAGTGCTGTGGCTGTAGCTTCAAGCTATCAGTGACACAATACAGGACTCTTGATATGTCTAATATGATGCTCATGCTGCACCTTCAGCTGTCAACAGTACAAGTCAGGACTTGGAGGTGTGGAAATGGTGTGAAGAAAAGGGGCAGCAGGAGGTGCAGAGTCATTAGTATCAACATAAGTACATCATGGAGTTAATCAACATTGTTACTACCCAGTAATCATAAATAGTAACAATATAAGCCAGTGCCTTCAATCTCTGCTGTAAGCACCAGGGTTTGGCAAACTGTACAAGATCTCATTTGCTGAAACGTATTAGGAGACTAATGCGTTAATGTGCTAATTTTTGTTTTTTATGCTTCGTTAAGTTGAAATTGAGTAATCTCTCTGACTACGACACAGTTGGCTTTTTACGTACAGAGTTATTCAACTTTGCTTTAGATGAGTTCTGATGTTTTCCTTTTGCATTAACAAGCTGGGAGTTTATGCTGTTGCCAGTGTCATGGTGTTGCCAGTGTCATGGTGTTGCCAGTGTCATGGTGTTGACGGTGTCATGTTGCGCTTAACACTTTCAGTAGTTCGGTTCTTAATACAGTACTGTACTTCTTTGTTCTAAGAAAAGGACATTAATGATGGCAATTTATTCTCAAAACACTATAATTTACTTATAGATTTGTTTTTACTACAAAAGTAAAATTAGGATGACAATGTAGTGGTAATGTCTTCCCAATTTTTCCTGGAAGAATTTTGCTCCAACAGTACGTAACAACCACTGTTTTCGCAGTTCGTGTAGAGACCTACACTTGTGAGTGTGATGCTGCTTGTGTGTAAATTAATAATGTCCTCTCCTTAAGTGATAAGAGAGGCAAGTGGCACCTTGTAAATTTAAATTTCCCCCATAGTTTGTGATGTCTTGTACGTAACGTAATATAAGTTCTCCCAATGCTTTACATTCCAGTTATTTGTATGTAAATGTAGTGTGATCTGACTTTTTATTGTTGACTTTGTTAATCTAGGACTTAGCAAGTCTGAGAGTGCAATGCACTTCATGGCTACAGAGTCTGTGCAATATGAATGAAGTGTTTGTGTAATTGATGTTTGTTGAGCATACTGGCCTGGAAGGTTGCAAGGTACCAATGGAGTTTTCTCTGTCATATCTTCAGTAAACAGGACTTTTTTTTTATGCCATACACAATACCAGATGATAGTTGCTGTGAATAAGCTTCAGTGCCAAATTAATTGTGCCAATCTCAGTGCCAATTCCTGGAATTTAATTTGCATTATGAATAATTACCACAGTTTTTTCAGTGCCAAAAGCATAATATGAAGATAATGGAAGAAGAATAAACAAAATTCCAGGCTGGTGGTGGACCCTAAGACAATCTTTCTGTAGACATTATGCTTTCACTCACTGGGCTTATGGAGATTAATGGAGGAAATTTAACTAGATTATGCAGATTATAAACTTGTAGAAAAACTGCATATGCCCATGGTGTTTTAATAGAAAAGTGAAGGGAGTATATTGTGTGTGTGTTATGTTTTCTGAAGTGGAGAATTCACACAGAAGTCTGGGAGAAATGAATGTGAAGACTTACAGATCTCTGTGGCCATACAGCCTCTTATGCACTTAGTGGAAACTTTCATTGCCAGTAAGGAAAATTCACTCTTAAACATGGAACCTGGCATATATGACTAGCTTTAAAATGAGTTGTGTTTACTGTAGTAAAGAGTTCATATTTGCTTTCATTCTAGTTTATAGCCAGCAACAAGAGACCCCTAAGAGTTTGGCAAGCCTTCTTGGACTGCCTCCCTATCCAGTGGCTAGCTACTGGCACTGTTAACCTTCCCTTCTGCTCGAGGCAAACTGGTGACCATGTCAATGTTGGTAGTGTGAGGATATCTTAAGTATTAAGGATTTAATGAATGATCTTTTAATTATCAATGCTAGTCTGATATTGTAATTTCTCTATTTATGGTTATATTGATAATAGTAATAATATGCTAAAGTTATAAATTATAAATTAGCAAGGAGATGAAAGGAAGATATCTAATCTGCAGTTCAAAAATGAAATTTCAAAATATTTAACTTATAGATATACATTTTTAAACTTTTGTAGTTGTGGTATACTGTATATAGTAAAAATATGCAATTTCAATACAAATAATTGGAGAGGTTCTTAAATTATAATAATGTTAATTTTATGGATTTATATATTTTCAACACTTTTTAACAGTAGTTGGCAAGTGGCATCAGATGTCCATAGTGTAACTGTGTTGTACTCAAAACTAATTTTGTATCATAAGTGGCAGTGATAGTTCATTACTACAGTTGATAATCACATAGCTGGTCGGCCTTTTTATTTTAAACTAAATACTGCTGACTAGCTTAAAAATCTGTTTTAATATGTTAACCCAATCATTGGGAAGCATTTAAAAAAAACAATTGGACATTTGATATTGGTGATCCAAGTTTAAGTATGACCACAGCAGAACCTCTAGTAAAGAGTTGAAACTGGCAACATTACCCTAGAAAATAGAAGTCATACTGTCTATACAGACTTGTAGTTTTTCAATCTGCAGTGTATTCTAATTGTGAATTAAATGGATGCTGGAACTGTACTTAAGTAGCATTTGTGTTCCCTCCGTGATTTTCTTATACAGTGGATCCTCGAATTTCATCACCCCTTTTATGTATGTAAAACTATAGTTATTCTCTATAAAATGTATTTTTTGTTAACATTTTTGGGTGTCTGGAATGGATTAATTGGAGTTACATTATGTCTTATAGGAAATATTAACAAAAAATACATTTTATAGAGAAAAACTATAACTATAGTTTTACATAGAGAAAAGGGATGATGAAATTCGAGGGTCCACTGTACCACAATAGTTCTTCGTATGTTTATATAAATAAATTCATTTGTGGTCAAGAGAAAGGCAAATGAATCTTACTTTACTATATATGAAACGTAATCATATTAAATGTATAAAATCATGGATCACCTGCTTATTTTTGCTTGTTACACACAAGAATCGTTCCCATTTTTTTTTCTGGTATAATTTTGATACTGACATACATTATATTGTAAGTGTTAATTATAAACAAAACTATACTTCAAAAATTAGAAATGCTTTGCCTTTCATGGTAGATACATGGAAATTTACTACATTTGTTAGAATACAAATATTTATGTATAGTAAAAATAATTAAAGATCAAGCACACCTTAAAATTCTTAAGTACAGTAAATACACTTTTATATAATATTTTATTATTTTATAATAAGGAAGACCTTGGTAAAGTTTTATTTAAAATAAAAGTTAGCATTACAGTTCAGTTTTGAAACTTTGCATCTGTTATATTTGCTGATCTTTTTAAGAATATTGTTGTTTAATGAAAACATAATTTAGGCAGATATATTACATATTACATACACATGCAATATGAGAAATTAATGCCACACTGCTCAGTCTCAAAATACCTCTCAGATGAGGAAATTCTAAATCTAATTTGTTTGCACCTTTTAACCCGTAAACTATCCAAAAGTATATATACGTTCACTACCCCAGTGCCCCGAATATTTTGAAAAATAAAAATATCGTTTTTTTTTATTGAAAGAAAGAGCACATTTTTCTAAGTGTTATAGGATAAAAAAAAAAATTTTAGGGTCAGTACTTACCGAGATATGAGGTCGCAAAGTTGGCACTTGGAGATCACCTGGCGGCAACATGGAGTGCTGCTGCTTGCAGAAGTGTTGTCAATATATCTTTTTTTCCATTTTTCATATTATTTTATATAACTTTTATGTTCTAATAATTACAATTTATAGTAGTTCTTGTCATTTCATAACTAATCTTTGTTCTGACACTAGTATTAGGTACTGAAATTGTACTTACATTGTCACAAACACATTGACAGGTGGACATTTACACTTGCCTTGGTCATTTACTATTGTCTTGGAATATATACAAAGTATTTATAGGTCCCAGCAATGTTTTGGATATGTGGAAGTGTATAATAATAATGAGGAGAATGAGAAGGAGGAGGAGGAGGAGAAGAATACATAATAATAATAAAATAATAAGTTCCCTTGAAGCATGAAAAACAAAGTCCACCCCTGACAGTGACGTGATAAGATGAGATAACATTTGATAAGAGCTGACGTTTGATGAGCATTGGCAAGGGTGCAGTGATAAGACTTGATAAGAAAAGATTAGGGCTTGCTTTGTTTTCCCTGGTACACAAACATGTCTGTCTATTTGTTTGTCTGTCAAGCTCCCTGTCTATTTGTCTAGCTCTCTGTCTGAGAGGGAGCCACAAGACTGGGTCATCACGTTTACTCATATCTTCAAGCAGAGTATAGCACTTTGTCTGGATTTTTTGGGTTATCCTAGGTAATTTACACTATGTATACTTGTATTTATGTGTACCTGTGAGACAGAGAGACAGATAGAAAGAGATAGACAGAGACAGATAGACAGAGACAGACAGAGATAGACATAGATACAGACAGACAAATGGAGATAGAGCCAGGCTGCCAGCAGCCGGCCAGCCACACAGCTGGCCAGCCAGCTAGCCAGTCAGCCAGCCAGAATTGTTTCTCTTTACTTAGGGCATAGGTTATAAGACTTTCTGAAAGGGTGTTGCACAAATATTGCACATGGGTTATTATCGAGGTTTTTTTTATATTTCCTCGACCACTTTTGGCCACATCCACCTCAAAATCACTTTCCTCTTAAAATGGGAGTGTTAATACTACATGACATCAGTGAATCCAAGGTGTTTGCTGCGCTGTTTGCTCTAGCTGGCGCTCATTTGAACTGGTGCTCCCACAGGGTATTCAGTGGTCCCAGATTTTTTAATACCGCGCACGCTGAGTGTTAGAACCCATTCTGTGCTGACAAGGCATCTCAGGCCAATCGTGCCAAATTTGAAGGCAGGAAAAATAAAACGTATATATACGTTTGGGGCACTAGCGGTAAAAATGTATATATAGTATGTTTGGACCGTTTACGGGTTAAAAAAGAAAAAAATATGAAGTCAAAAGGTATGCTACAAACTCTCACCTTACCGAGAGGAGGAAAGTAGGAAACATGATAACCATATACAGTATTGTATAAGATCATATAAGGATATAATTATATGGAGATGTCCCGACACCAACAGGGAGAAAAACAGCCTAAAACTGTAACTTGAGAAAGTAGCAAAAAGGATGCAAGAAAGATTTTCCTGCAAATAGTAGTAGAATATTGGAATGTAATCTTGGAAAAGGTAAACATACAATTATTATTTTATTTATGAGGAAGCAATGAACTCAAAGGGCAGTGCTCAGTTATGATTATAATACAGCCTCTCCTCACTTAGCGACGTACTCATTTACCGATGACTCGGACTTACAACGGGCTCTCTGACCAGTATGCATACCTAAATTAGAGCTGATTTCCTCCATTCTAAATTAGAGCTGATTTCCTCTATTCTAAATTAGAGCTGATTTCCTCTATTCTGTATATTATAATATATATACAGTAAACTGCTGTATAAACATTTAAAAATATACCAAAATAATATAAATGGTGCAAAGGTAACATTAAAACAATATCAAAGATGGTTGACACAAACACACTACCATTATAGTATGCTCCTCACTTAGTGACGAATTTGTTTATCAACATGGTCTTAGGAACAGAACTCTATCATTAAGTGAGGAGAGGCTGTAATAAAAACTCGTAGGGGGTCATACAATGCCTGAAGAATGGAAGGCAATCAGATTTGATCCAAGGAAGTAGAGGGCAGCTCCAATTCCCTGGATCGAGAGTCCTCCACTAGCATCAAGGCACCTTTGAAGGTATACAGCACAAACTATTGAAAGCTTTTTCAGTTCACCAGTGCTGTAAATAGATAATCCTGTATGATAATATATATTTAAATGGACAAAATTTTAAAAAAAAAAGAAAAAAGAACAATCATAATTCATGCAGGTCACATTCCTGAGAACTACACTATTAATGATTTCCGTGACTTATGGACTGAAAAATATATGAAAAAAATAGGGTTACATTCTTTAAACCTCTGAGAGAAGAAACAAATTTTTTTTATCTTTATAAAAATAATAATTTTCCTACCTAACACTGTCAATGATAATGCTCTGTGAAATACCTGAACTCTAGTAAGATAGACAGTTAAAAGAAAGTAGAGTAGCTAAAAGTTGATTACATTAATACTGCATATTATTTGTTACCTTTGAGTGGAGTTCAGGATGCTTAACTTATTGAAGTGAGTGGAGGGTGTGACTGTGAACCTATTCCTCATTCTTTCCATCATCACACTGAGGACTACTAATTTCACAAGCCCTTATCTTTGCTTCATTGTCCTGAAATGCCCAAATTCTTGATTCTCTTGCACCATATTTTTTAATAGGCATAGTTTCATGCTTAATCATCTCCCTTGCTTCACCAGCATTACCTGCACTTCATTTGAAGCCATGATAAATATCCAAGGATGAGATAGGGTGATGAAAAAATAGAAAAGTGTGTCCAGATATACTGATCCATGTGGGAGGCTGCTTTGTTTATATCCCATCACCCTCCCTCACACCCTTCCTTGCAGTGCTAAGACAATGGAGATGCCTAACTGCATAATGGGGAGGTCTCAGGCCTGCCTGCCAAGGCACTTCTTAATGGAAATGCATGTCACCCACAGAAATAGTCTGCTTTGGTGCTCCTTAATAGGAAGACACTTCACCAATAGCAATTAATTTCTCTTCCATGCACTTTAATGGGAATAAGCATGCTTCTGTTAATGAAAACCTAAATTTAAATTTCATCATTCTGAAAATGCAAGCTAGGACTGCACAACTTAATTTTTTCTACATATATGTTTCCTATAACTATACCATCAATACAAGTAAGAAAGGCCATAACTCTAAATTTAAAGGCATACTGAATCTTTTTTTACAGTACTTCATAAAAAGTAGCAGATAACGTGAATGAAATAAGAGAAGAATTGGGCCAAAAGCCTTGATAATTCTGAAAAAATACAATATATTATATATATATATTATATATATATATATATATATATATATATAATATATATATAATATATATATATATATATATATATATTATAATATAATATATATATATATTCTCTGAGTGAAGCATCACACTCAAGTATTTCTTTTGCTATCCAATATCCTCTTGGGCACATCGATAGACTCCAACCATATGATTGTGTTTTCATTCGCCTAGCCACCCATCCTACCTAACATAGTATATATGCGAGAGGACAATGATTAATTTGAACTTCATGGATTTATGTAACATAGAAGGGAAGTATGCCAATATAGAGTCAATGACATCATAAAAGAAGCCTGCCATCATCCATTGTCCACTAAACAGGAACCTATGTGCAAAGTCTACGGAATTAAAGCTTGATGGAGCCATATCTAATATTGGAATGGATGGAAAAATTTGCCTGGGACTCACATGGCCGACGCACACGTCAGGAATTCCTTTGCTTCCATTCCTCCTTGGGCGTCGCTAGACCCACAGGCCATTCGGTGGTGCTCTCACCTAGCCAACCCCATCCTCACCGAACATTGGGGTATTTGCGGCAGGGCGACAGCTGATCAATTCGGACTTCATGGTCTCGTGTGTCACACAGCAGAAGGGAAGTATGCCAGGCATGAGGAGGTCAATGACATCATAAAGAGAAGCCTTGCCACAGCCCATTGTCCAGCTCAACAGGAACCCCAAGTGCAGAGGTCTGACGGAAGTCTAAAGCGTCCTGATGGAGCCACTATGCTACCTTGGAAGGATGGAAAGCAGATTGCCTGGGACTACACATGTGCCACCACATTGGCAGACACCTACTTGCCATACTCCGTAGTGGAAGGGGGTGGAGCTGCCAGCCACAGGGAGACTCAGAAGATCCGCAAATATGAAGACCTTTCCCCTTGCTATAACTTCATTCCAATAGGGTCGGAGACCCTTGGAG